CCTCTGCGGGTTCCTGTTCGACAGCTTGCGTCTCAGTACATAAATAAGAAAGATAAAAATAATTAGTACTAAATAAAAGTTAAAGCTATTAGAAAAAATTTTACAAAACTACCATACTAGTGCTACTAAGATAAGAAGATAAAGAAATGATGATAAAAAAATGAACTGTGAGATAAAAAGATAAAATAGAAAAAGGAATTTAAAGTTACAAGTTAATTAAATAATTAAATCATATTAGATAGTAAGAAATGTTTAAAAAAATAAAACTAATAAATAATTTCCAAGTCGTACCTCGTGCCGGTGTCTGGAAAAAAAACTAGGTGTTTAAGCAAAGAAGATCGAGATGAGAGAGAGTGATTTTCGGCAAAACAAAAAAAAGTCCCTTTATAGAATTCTCCCATTCATTTAGACATGCGTTAAGTACCAAATGTCAATATAAAAAATTTATAATTAATAATAAAAATAATACATACGATAAAATTTCCTACATACCTTCAAAAAAATGTGTGTAACAATTGCATCTTAATTATTTAACACTAAACAAAATATTAATAATAAACCTTCGTTTTCATTAAAAATAAACAAATTATAATTGGTAACCCATAGCAACCAGAAAACATATAAAATATTTAAACAATTTAAACTAACAACCATCGCTAGTGATGTGTACCACTATCGAGGTTCCGCAAAAAATCGATAATATATAAAAAAACGGATAAACGATATAAAAGGAAAAATGTAACGAAAATATTTTCGTTACAAAGTACTATTAAATTTTTTGTGAAGTGAAACTTTTTTACGCGCTAATATGTCATAATATTTAATACGAAAAACTAATTAAAATCATATTTTGCAAAAATATAATATAAAAGGAAACTTTTTCAACAACTGTAATCTCTCTCAGCCTAAAAGCGAAATTAATATAAATTTTATCTCTACGCTTTTCTTTCTGTCGTTAGTCCTCGGCAAAAATGTAATTAATCATACCTTAAGGGTTGTTCTTGCAGTCCTTGTGGACAATAAATAACAACGCACGTGTAAGTCGTTGAAACTTTTTCGTTTGACTTTTTCTTGCCTAGGAGAACCTGTGGCTCTTACTGCTGGTTTTTTCGAGTTTTAAACTTTAAGAAATATACTAGGATATTGAGTATTAGTGATAGTTTTTTATTGAAAATAATCCCGAGCTAAATTTTATTATTTATGAAATTGATAAAATTCATTTTAAATAAGATATTTCGAATTAAAAACCTAATTTTTAAATATCTTGTCGAAATAAATTTTCTTCTGTTGGAGGTTTTAATAATATAAATGAATAGATTTTTTGCACACTCTATATGATTTCTCTATTTCATTATTAGGTAGTATAGTTCAACCCCAGAAACACGCCTATGAGGTTTTTTGCGAAAAAAAAATTTTGAAAATTCGAAATTTTTTGAATATTTTTTTTTAGTTTTTAGTTAAAAAATATAATTTCTTGATAATATGGCAACATAGGTATTAGATTAAATTTACAAAAAAGAAAATCCAGAAAAGATCCAGTGATCCTCAAAATTTTAGCAAACAATATTTTTTTTCGGAAATTTTCAAAGTAAAATAACTCCGTAATTTTTGACTTATTTGAAAAACGATAAAGAGAAAATATGTTTCTTTTATCGAGATTTACCACATCTTAAAATACTTGCACTTATTTCTGGGACATCCTGTATAATAATTTTTTGGTAACATCCACCACTATAACTTTTTATTTTTTCAAATAAAAAAACAAGATTTTCTATGTTAGTATATGACATAAATTAGGATTTATTGACATATATATTCAATTGTTTTCGGTCACTTCCTGTTTTACCGGCAATGACTACAATTTTAGATTTTTAAATAGAAACTTTGGTATTCTTTAGTTTATTCGATAGAAAATGACACTCTAAATAGAATAACATATCACATGTCAACTTTTAACATTTTGGTTTAAAAAAAATAGTATTTGAAATTTCAACTTGGCCAAGGCTGGGTTAAAAACAATAATTTTTAATCAAGGAGCCTTTGAAAAATTGATTTGACAGTCTAATGTTATTCGTGTCTTGTCCTAGTCGGTTAAAAGATACCCAGATCATATTTTTAGTCGTCTCCGAATTCCTTCAATTGGAACAAGGATAGCTCATTAGCATATTTGGAAAAATCATTTTTTTACGAATAATTTGATACCACTCACAGTGTTGTTTTAATATGTAAAATGTGAACGTGTGTATGGATTAATTTTAATTGTATTCGTATGAGCGAAACACGTGTCACTGTTTAACATTATACAGGGTGAGTTTCCTACGATGTTCTCTATGGGTATCTCGGAAACTACTGGAGATAGAGAGTCGGTTAAATGGGGAAAGAATTGCAGTTTTGTGGGGTCATAAATATGCGCCTTTCAGATTTTTTAAAAAGTTCATGGCTTATTAGATATTTAGAAAAAAACAAATTTCGGCTATTTTAAAAATTGTCCCTAATTCCATTATATGCTATTTTAGACAAAAAGTTTTCAGATAAAAGTTGTAGATAATCACATCCTTAATGAGATTGTGTCCTCCGTTTTTTTCTAAAGCCTGTCATTTTTGACATTTGACACAAACATATGTTTTTTTTTAATGGAAACCATAGTTGGCCATGACTTTATAAAAAGTGCAATTTTTTAAGCTTTTCAGCGATATAAGCTATAATATGTTTTCTTCGAAAAATTATCGAGTTATAGCCAATTCTTATCATTTTTAAATAATTTCACTTAGTTAGCCATGGAAACAATGGTCTTTGCTCTTATAAATGTGAAGCTGCCACATCCAAACTTTGTAAATTAAAATAAACAAAAATTGTAAATATGAATTTTTCAAATGAAGAAAAGTGTGTAAGATTATTGGTTCAACTTTTCTTGACCATACATTTTCGAGGATACGTTGACCGGTGAATGTTGTGTTTTTTAGAGAACGATTTTCAAGACTTGTTAGAAAAGTTAAATTTAGTTATAGCCAATTCTTATTTCTCTTGACTAATTTCACTTAGATTGCATGGCATTCTTATTCTTTTGTGATTTATAACTTATAAAAAGTCAGAATATATTACTAAACGGTTCTTTAGTTATTTAGTTCATTACACAAACTAAAACTTAAAAAAATAATATCGCTGCAGTCGAGTCACTGCATACACTTTAAGTTATTTTAGAAAATGTTCAAAAATTCCATTGTTTTGAGTTACATCTTTTTAAAACTGAATTATTACCTATTCTCACAAAAGGACCGGTTGATTTAATTAAACTTCTCTCGTACCGCCACTTCGAGTGCCTCTCTTAATTCATAAGTTCTTTTGTAAACCTTATTTTTAACCATACCCCATAAAAAAATCTAAAATGGATAGGTCAGGTTAATCTAAAATGGACGAGGCCCATGCAATTAGTCCACCTCTTCCTATCCCTGAGTTTATATTATTATGATATCAATAATTTTTAACATTTCTTTCATTATGCGGGGGGGCATAATGAAAGTCATTTTGGAAACACTCTATTGATGCGCGAATATCTACACGCTTTTCTTCATTTGAGAAATTCGTATTTATAATTTTTGTTTATTTTAATTTAAAAAGTTTGAATGTGACAGCTTCACATTTCTGAGAGTAACGGCGATGGAACTTGTTTCCATGGCTAACTAAATGAAATTGTTTAAAATGATAAGAATTGGCTATAATTCAGTAATTTTTCGAAGAAAACATATTATAGCTTATATCGCTAAAAACTTAAAAAATGCCGCTTTTTATGAAGTCATGGCCAACTATGGTTTCCATTTAAAAAAACATATGTTTGTGTGATATGTCAAAAATGACAGGCTTTAGAAAAAAACAGAGGAGACGATCTCATTAAGGATGTGAATATCTACAACTTTTATCTGAAAACTTTTTGTCTAAAATAGCTTATAATGGAATTAGGGACACTTTTTAAAATAGCTGAAATTTGTTTTTTTCAAAATATCTAGTAAGCCATGAACTTTTTCATAAATCTGAAAGGCGCATATTTGTGACCCCACAAAACTGCAATTCTTTCCCCATTTAACCGACTCTCTATCTCCAGTAGTTTCCAAGATACCCATAGAGAACATCGTAGGAAACTCACTCTGTATAAACGTTGAGACCGAGACTTTGAGTCTTTTTTCTACTTCTTTTTTAATTTAAACCAGGTCTCTTTGAGAAGAATGGACGCCTTCTTTATATTTCTTTGAAGAATGTTTCCTTTTTGAAAAATGAAATAAATGATTCATCGCTAGTAGCTCGGATACCAAATTATTTAAAACAAATTCTTTCTGACACTCACACGGCGATAAATAACAGTTTCTTGGGACTTCTTTTTTTGTTTCACTTGTGACAATTTCAGTTCTTTGATAATATATGGCAAGCAAATTATGAAAGCAAAGTGTATGAGAATGCAACATTTGGATAGTTACGATATACCTTTATTTGCAATTAAATACGTATACTCTGTGGCACTAAAAATGTTATTTTTTATTTATTTATTTTTCTTTTATGTAGTTTTTTTTTCTTTCAACAAAAATACTGTTGCTGTGCTACCTAACAAATAGTTTTATTTAAACTAACAAAAAAGATCTAGTTTAGTATTCTAATTTTCTTGTATTAATTTTTAATGCAGACTTGATAAACCGTCATTTTTTTAATCACTGTAAGAAGAGCCATTTAAAAAGAACCCTCTCATTTGCAAGAAAAAAATATTAAAATTTTGACCGAGAAAATTAATTCCAGATATTTAACGCCCATTAATGTTAATGCTATCCGACGTAAGCATCGACCATAAAACAACATTGGAGAACATAGGGGACAGTCATAAATATGCGATAGGCCCACTCTCCGCTTAATAAACATGATCTGAGATCGAGTTTAATAATTTAATACACCCCTATCACATTTCACCTAGAGTGACTATGATTTCACCCTCTAACCACCGCCATCTCTTGTTTCAGGGATCCACTCACCGCGCTGTATTCGATCACCTACATGTACTACGCCTGCATCGGCTGCTTCTTTACAGTTTTCATCGGCTGGGCAGTGTCCTATTTTACCGGCAGCGAAAGCGATCTATACGACGAGGAATTGATTCATCCTTGGGCCCGAAAGATGGCTGACTTTTTCCCTGGAAAGAAACGAAGATATGCCAGCAAAACTTTCGAAAAAACTTCGAAGAAAGTGAAGAGGAACGATTCTAGTGTACTGAGCGTGAGTCCTAGTACTAGCTCAATCCAGAACCAGACTCCAACAAAACAAGAACTAGAACAAACAGAGAATCTCAAGAATAACGGTGCAGTAAATGAGGGATACTCTCATGATATGCCCATGGAGGAAGTAAACGGTACATACAGGACAAAGTTGTGATTTGAGCTAGAGTTATTGGGGTACTTCTAGGAAGAGAATCTTTTTTAAGACTTTCTTCCAGAGATAAAATGAAGATTACCCTCTGCGTGTTTGCCCCTAAAAATGTCTGTGATCTCTAGCTGTAGTACGATTACTTAAAAAACACAAAAAGACCTACTAGTTATTTTTTTATCTCATTGATATTAATTTCTTACTTATTAGCCCTCTATTTTTGTTACTTATTATCTTTTATGTATTAAATTTAGTAGTGTTATATTACTGCTTTCTAATTTATTTATTAAGATTAAATGAAGTATTATAGGTACTTAAATCAATTTTAGCCTAGAGCTTAAAGAAGATTATTTTTATGAGTTATATCTAGATAGTTATTTAAATGAATTTATTTTAAACCAAGTACTACGTGTATTAATTTTAAATGTGTTTTAAATTAATTTAATAGAGTATTAGAAGTATCGATATGATTAAAGAAAATTTAATGCATGCATTAAACAATTTCGTATTAAGAACATTATAAATTTGTAGGATCCATTTACATTAAATGCATTATCATTCAAAACATGATACAGTGTATTTAATAAAAAAATTTTTTGTACAAGGAGTCTTTTATTTATCCTGTCTTTCTCTTCATTTTACTTTTACTTAGTACCTAGAGGTTAACTAGAAAGTATCTTTGATACATGTTATTTTCCAATAAGTAGTTTTAAATGTTATGAAAGATTTTTTAATATTTTTTACAAACTTTGTTGATTTAGATTTTCTTGGTTCATTGTAAAACAAAGTGTAATATTATTATTATTGACATAAAGGCGAAGGAAAATTTAAAATCAGTGGAACAACAATGGAAAATAATAATATTATAACACTGAATCACAGAAAAAATCAAAGAATATAGAATCAATAATGATTAAACCCTTATTAAAACTTTATTATAATATGATGCGTACAGTGAATGATGTTCTTTTAAATTTCTATTTAAAGTTAGTTCATACTTTTGTTGACAAATTGGCGAATGTTATTTTTAACTTAGTAGAAAATAGGTATACAGTTAAATTTAACTATACATGTTTAAACTATACATGTTAAAAAATACTTGTGTTGTCTATACACAGTTATTCACCACAAACGACACAGAGTATTGTAGCTAAACGATTAGATTTTTATAAATTGTAAGGTTTGGATTCGTTGAAGGACTATTACAGCTACAATTTAAAAATATTTTTACAGGATAGAGAGTGTCCCTAATAAATAAAAAATATGAAAGTTGCATTTTTTAATAAAACACCCTGTATATTATTACATTTTTAGTTTCTACGATTAAAATAAAGATAAATTTGATTAAAGTTTATCGCGTTATAATCTTACCGTTTTTGAAATATTTACTTTTTGTCAAAATACAGTAACTATTTTAATGCTTAATTTCTTTAGGCGCATTTAAGTTTTCAAAACCTAATATTGTACTGAGGTTTTTCTATTACTAAATTTTGTGGTGCAATAATAAAAATTATACTACCTATATACTAATATTGTCAATATAGTTCGCATATTTCATTGAATTTTTTTTTTTAAATATTTGTTAAAAAAGACCAATAATATGATCCCAGTATTCAAACTACAATTGACTGTTTGCATTAAAAATAATTGGTCCAAATACTAAAAAACTCCATTTAGTATGTTTATCAGATAGTTTAGTAAAAAGTAACACATTATAAATTTTATTTCATTTTTTGACGAATGCTTATATTTATAACAACAGAGAAGTTAATTTTCATAGCTTATTATTATATTTATTTCTGATTCAAATCCCACATTTATCTAGAATAATATAATTTATCAATTAAAACAATTAAGTATGTAATTAATTAATATTTGAGCGGACATAATGGTGGTATATTTAATTGGTATGCTTTTTTACAAAGATTTAAATATTTTTTTTGTAAACAAATGCGCTTTGCATTTTCAAAATAAATACGCATTTTCTACGAAAACTTGAAGAGATAAGTAAAAAATGGTATAATACAATTTGATAAGACAATTAAATTGTACATCTGATTGCTATACAATATATAGGGTGTTCCATTTAAATTAAACAAGTTATTGCCGTTTAAAGCTAGTAATTATTTAATATAAATTTTTACACTTTGTGTAAGGTAGTATTATTTTTATTATTGCAACACAAAGATCTAATCAACAAATAAACTTTAGTAAAAATTTAGTTTTAAAACCTTTGATACCCTTGGAGAAATAAAGCCTTAAATATTTTACTGCAATTTCACAAAATTGAAAATATCTCAAAAACGATAAGGTTTAAGTGTGATAAACCTAATCAAATCTACCTTTATTTCAATCGTAAAATCTGAAAATAAAATAATATACAGGGTGTTTGATTTAAAAAAACACAACTATAATATTTTTTATTTATTTGGGACACTCCATAGTCCTTAAACGAACCCAAAGCTTAGAATTTGTAAAAATCTAATCGTTTAGCTACAATACTCCGTGTCGTATGTAGTGAACAACCCTGTATATATCAGGTGGCCACAACAAATATGAAAAGGTCCCAGTGAAATAAGCCTTTATAACTTTTTAAACGTAGAATCAATCTAGAGTTTTATTTCTGTTTAATGAAAATAATAATATAATAAAATTTGTTTTTTCAAAAAAAAACATAATTTGTTTTCTACTGAAAATAATTCCAAAATAAATTGCAATCTGGCAACTTCAACGATGTGCACATGCGTGGTATCTATGACTATTTGCAGCACATAATCCTTTCAAGCTCAACAAATTAGGCAAAGAAAATAAAGTCCTCCTACTCTGGGTGCCTGCTCACCAAGGGATAGAAGGCAATGAAAAAGCAAAGAATCTAGCTAGGAAAGGAGCGAACACTCCACTAACTGGACCAGAACCGTTCTGTTTTCCAAACGGGAACCAACTGAAAGCGGAACTGAAGAATCTGGAAGACTCCATCCGTAACTTGGAATGGGTATCCTCCAACGGCCTAAGACACTCGAAAAAGTTCCTCAGAACTTACGACCGAGAAAAATCAAAGGTTTTCCTTGATCTAAGTAAATCCAATCTTCGGATTGTCCACGGGGTTTCTAACAGGACACTGTCTCCTCAACAAACACCTCAGTAGCCTGAAGCTGAGAAACAACGGCGAATGCAGATTCTGTGGGGAAAATGGGGAAACACCAGAACACGGCTGATGTCGAGGATGGAGAGTTGGCCTCTGTGGAGCCGTCTCAGATACTGGCTCGTTATAACTCAAGAAAGGGGAACACACAAAATAGATCTGTAAGGTCGCGGTGATTAACTCCCCTCCTAAACATTCTACATTCATCAAGACATTTCTAGTGTGAAAAGGACAAAAAAAGTTTACGTCAACTTTATTTTCGAAGGGGAAATAAGATGCGACTATTTTTGAAGCCCCTAATTCGGGGGTGGCATTCACCCTTAAAATCTTAAATGTAATGCGGGGTTGTGTAGCACATCATTTGAAAGGTTATTAAAGCCTCTTTTCAGCGCCGTCTCATTTTTGGAGTTTTTGTCACATTTGGTGGAATCGGCCTGAAAAAGAAACTTTTCGTAAATTGATGATGCTTTGATATTTGATTAATTGTACAGGAATCGAAATGGGGTCTAAAATAAGAAATTTAGATTAAATCAACAAGATTTTGCTTAATGAATAATACACAAAAGTATGTTGAAAAGAAGACGTGTACTAGCCGATAAGAAACAAAAATGTAAACAAGTTTTTGGTAGGTAAAAAATTGTTTTTATTAATATCTTCTTTTGAGGCAGTACTGCTAAATTTTTTTCATCTTATCATTCAGCTTGGAAGTATTCTTAATATTTTGTACGGCTTACTATTCTTAGTATTATCGTAAGAGTATTTAGTATGATTGTGAATTGACATGATGGTTTATTCTACTGCAGATAAAGTTAAGATAATTAAAACTTTCTTTAGTCATGACGAATATGGCAATAGAACGGCAGTTATTTAATGACCGACATCCAAATAAACTTGTCAATAGAAAGTACGTGCTGGAATTAGTAGCAAAATTTAGAGAAACTGGAAGTGTTCTTACAAAGAAGTGAGAAATTCCACCTGGTGTAGTTGAGGCAATGAGGCAATGCAAATAGTACCGCATGATCAAAAAAAAAAACGGAGTCCAGTTGGCTATGAAATTAAAATCGCTGTCATTTTATATGTAAAATTATATGGAAAATGTCATCGATGTTCATTTCCAAGCCAACTGGACTCCGTTTTTTTTTTCGATCATACGGTAGTTCTGGGACAAATCCATGCCGAACCAAGAAGAGTGTTAGACAACTGGCAACGAGTTTAAAGTTCCACAAATTCCATCCTTACAAACTTCATCTGGTCCAAGAATTGAACGAAGGTGATTACGACAGACGATTGCAATTCTGTGAAGAACTAAGTGAAATGTTCATTGCTACTCCACGTTTCCTTTCCAACATGTGCTTTTCGGATGAATGTACATTTTTTCTCAATGCTGCTCAATGGTGCTCAATGCGAATATTTAATCAAGTAATTGTTTCAAAGCAGGGTACTACTTTTTGTGTATTATTCCTTAAGCAAAATCTTGTTAATTTAAACTAAATTTCTTATTATAGACCCCATTTCGATTCCTGTACAATTAATCAAATATCAAAGCATCATCAATTTATGAAAAGTTTATTTTTCAGGCCGATTCCACCAAATGTGACAAAAACTCCAAAATGAGACGGCACTGAAAAGAGGCTTTAATAACCTCTCAAATGATGCTACTCGACCCCGCATTACATTTAAGATTTTAAGGGTGGATGTCATCCCCGCGTGGGGTTTGTGTTAAGCCCCGTTCTCAGAACGACGTCGTGTCGCTGGCGACACAGTTTGTCATTTCAAACAACCAATGGGAGCTGTACTAAATTTAAAATTGACAGCTGTTTGAATTTTGTACAAATCTCATTGGTCCTCTTGACGTGTCGCTGGCGACAGTCGCTGTTCTGAGAACGGGGCTTTAGGGGCTTCAAAAATAGTCGCATCTTATTTCCCCTTCGAAAATAAAGTTGATGTGTTTCACCGTTTTGTCCTTTTCACACAAGAAATGCCTTTAAATTGCCTTGTTTCGTTTGAACTGAGACAATGAGAAATCTGTATTCTGAAACTTAAAAAAGTGAACAAAAACCAAGAGTTCTAGAAACCGACAAAATTAATTTGAATAATTGAGGAGTAAACTTACTAAATGCATTTTATCCACTTTTTTAAGATTTTCATCCAAAGGCGGCATTGCAAACTACATACACAGAGTTGCCAAAACCGACGTGTTAAATACATTTTATCCCATTCGAATTAAATGGCAAAAATACCTTAGACTTTCTATGTGCTGTATGTCCATTGGCGGTAGATAAACAAACAGAAGTAATTAATATTCTAGAACGTCGTTTTTTATTTATGCCTTTTTGTGAGTTGGACTAGTCGAGATATATAGTTCTCTATCTATATCCTGGAGGGAGATTTCCGGTTGAAATCTGATTTTGTGAAGGAAATCGAATCCTTGCAGGACTTCTTGTGTACTCCCCGGCTGA